CGGGGAAAACCATGGGACTAACAGACGCGATATCCATAAGCGTCAAACCAACGTCTTTGGTGGTTACCAGCCTTTAACAACGAAGTAATGTAAATAGGGTAAATAACATCTGAATAAGCTAATATGCTTGTTGTAGAAAAACTGCGTAAAAACTAACCTGTTCGCATTTCCACCCAGAGTAGAACGAGGTTGGTAGTGTTTTTTGAGGAATTTTTCGGGTAATTTAAGTGAGAACAATGGAGCTCGCTCCTCCACACGAGCAGTGAATAGCTGATCCTTTACTCTGAAATTTTAGAGAGAAAGTGAAATTGTTTTTTTTTTTGCGAAGGATACTGAGTACTTCGAATATTTGTCTAAAAGAGCTGTTTATTTGTTAGCTTGCTTTAAAAGTACCACAAAGTCGCGTTATAGCATTAGAATTTTCGAAACATAAATCGAATAACCGTTCGCAATAAATTATTCAAAGAATGAATATTATTCGAATTGCCAATTGGAATATATTCGATTAGTGGGATCCTGCATATTCGGCTATTCGAATCAGTGAATAATAGGGTATGACCAAGTACCCAAATTTCCTAATAGCAGAATAAGTCGTTTTTTCGATTATTCGACTATTCAAACGGCAAATGAACGAGTTATTCGAATATTTCAGTCAAGCATAATTACGCAATCTCAATCATATCCGATGATATTCAATTGAACAATCATTCGATGGTTTCGCAGACATTTGAACGATTGAATGTTATTTGTCCCAGTTCTAAAACCATTCAAAATATTCGAATGTTGATGTTTCAAGATATTCAACTACTCGAATGATCTAATTAATGCATCTTTTCGAAAATCGACTATTCGAAAAATCGAATATATGCGCTTCTTCAGGTATTCGAATTTCGAAAATTTGAATTATTCAATATGTCATATTTTATTCGGGCGCGAATACTCGGTCTCAACTATATTATTAACAACTTTGCATAAAGAAAACAAAACAATTTTTAGTGATTTGATTACCTCAATGGATTTCCGCGGCCACTCACAAGAGCAAACGCCGTGTTTTCAAAGAGTCCATTTGCTTTGAGTGTTTCCAGTGATACCCTGAATATGATCATTACTCCGAACATATATCACA